TTTGTAAAATGTTGACATTAATGAAAGCTATTGAGTTAATTATAATATGTAACAGCTATTATGCAATGCGTCTTGGTGCTGGCCAGATAATTATTATATGATATAATAATATTGTCCTAACTCAATTATGTCCCAGACACTAAGACACCAGGGAGTGATTTGCATTGTTCTGGCTGAAGACCCACTGTGGTGTGTATGGGAATAAATACATGTGGTTTTCCCTGAAATAAACAGCTCTCATTTTACCCAATACGACTTGTCCACTATGTTAGGGAATTTTCAAGGTTCCAGAGGGCTATAATCACTGTATGCTGTAGCTGAATCCAGGACCAGCAGAGGAATACAAGAAGGGACATTAAACAACTGCCAACCCATGATATGTGTCTATTAGTCTGTCATCAGCATTCACATCACACTGGCGACCGGCATCCAATGGTGACACTGTCCTCCCCTTTGCGCAGCCCATTTTCCTATCCTCTGCCCATCCTCCCCATACTTCTCTACCTCTCCAGCAAGGCGGAGGGACATAAGAGATTGGGCTAAGGGGAGAACTTGGCCTCGGAGCTGTAACGGAGGTAAGGTCCATCTGGAGATTTTAAATTTTGGGTACCCTTGCTTTAAGGTTTAGTTCCAAAGTAACTTGTTTGTTTGTTCTGTTTATAATGTTTGTACAACTGAATCATTGTCGCTCATGCAGCCACAAGTGCGTATTGGGCATTGAACATGAAGGATTGATTTATGCAGAAAATCACAGGGCAAAAAGAAGTAAGTGAGCAAGTCATAGAGAGTCAAGGCACCATAACCACCTGGCACCATAACCATTAAAGTGAGCTGTAGTGGTTATGGTGCATTGAGCGTTCCTTTAATTCTTGCCAACATCCATTGATATTGTTCAGAATTCATCTATAAGTCTGCATGTTTAATTCAACTTATATCAGTCAAAAGTAGGAATTTGGCTGTTAGTAAACATGAAAAACTGATAAAATGAGGTCTATTGAAAGTAGACTCAAATCACAGATAACATATATGTAAAGATTACTGAGATAATTGCTCACCCAATGCATATCCCAGACAGAGAGCAATGTCAGAAATAGCATAGATTCCACCATAGACTGATGTGTGACGTAGATCTACAAGGTATCCCA